AATTCATTAATGTCAATCATCATTTTCAACATGTTGATTATGATCTTCAACAGATTCTTCTTCATTCCACTATGATCATCATCATCATCCTCATCATCAACTTTCAAAATGATTATCTATTCATTTCAACAGTTTCACTGCAACTACTCATTAACAGCAACAACCAACAACAATCACAACACAACACAACACGATCATATTCAATGTTGAACGTGATCATAATTCAATTGATTCAATTGATGATTGATTTGTCAACTGGATGAATTGTGTTTGAGTAAGTGTCATGATGAAAATATAAGTGATTAATTATTATTGATTATTTTCAGTAAGATTACATCATCACTATTCCATATTGAGAAGGATTTCTAGCTGAGAGAAACAATTTGGCTTGACAGAGTTTCATTGATGACTTGAATAGATTGATGTTTTTCTCACTTCTCCACCACCAGCACCAGCACCAGCACCACCACTGTCATCATAATCACCCGAAACACGAACACACACACACCAACAAGCACAAAGAAGCTGATAGATGGAAATCAATGGAACCACTGAATTTATTTCCATGATTTCTGATATTCAAAATACAAAGCATCCAATGATTAGTTAAGACCAGCTCAGGTCAGATCAGATCAGATCACAATTGTGAAACTGTTAAGGTGTCAACATGTCGCACGCCACTAAAACCATGTTGATATACACGAATGAAGGCCGATATTCATCATATTTTTATGTTGGCATTAAACTATCCCCACGTTACCACCAGAGATTATGATTTCATTTGAATGAAGTGACAGAATATACAACATGGCTTACTTTAAAGAATATGTGATCCATGAGTAGAGTGTCTCATTGATTGTATCATTGTCTTTGTGAGTTTACCATGGAGACAATGAACGATGCAAGTCAAATTATTATTCGAATGTGATAGGAGAAGCCAGTGATGAATTTAGTTTGGGCGAATTCATACGAATCAACCATATTCTATCTCATCCGTAGTGTCATTTGTGCAAAACAATTTAATGATTGTATAACGTAATATAAGTAGGTAGATGAATTAAGTCAACTTTGTACAGGAGCTAAGTATCAGTAACACTGATAATTGTTCATGATGAATACAGCCATATATACAATCTGAAGCTGTAAAATGAATTGTACACTGTCCAACTATTACCATAGTAAACTACTCAAACTGCATATTTCAGTAGTATAAAGAAAGAAAATATTTAGTGGGTTAGGTGTGGAAATCTAACTTAAGTGATGAAGTAAAGAATCAAAGACAATGATTCCCCTCTCGCCATTTTACAGTACATATATTTCTGACACTTTCACCCCCTATTCTGTATATGCATAACAGTAATATTCATTTCCCTCAACAACATGGCAAACAGTGAATATGATGCATATGATGCTTGTTGTTAAACATCCACTCCATATTCATCATAACGCGCACACAACCCACACACACACAAACACCTGCCTCCTGTTTCTCATTATACAAATCTATCTGTACATACATGCACAGCAGGTAGATACAGATTCCCAATAACACCTATTGTTCTACACTGTTCATTTCCATTTCTACTAGACTGACTTGCCGACTAAACTAACTAACTGACTGCTTGACTGTTTCACTGGCTGACTAACTGACTGACTATCAGATAATTCTACCCCGCCAATTGTGTTTCATAAGTGAATATTAATAATTCATCCACTCATAATAATTTCCATTGACTATAATAACTAACAATTGACCAATAATCAAATGGTGATTTAATTCTGACAGAATTTATGATATTCAGTCTTCAATATCAATACATCACCAGTTGATTGGTTGTTCGTGATTTGCAGTGGTGACGAAGACGACGACGACGACGACTCGACTACGACTACGATGACGATGATGATGATGCTTTGGATGATGATGAACATCAACAGTAATAAGATTTGCATGTATATTCCTTAAACAATTTACGGAATATGACTGAATATGTCGGGATGGATGTACAGTGAATGGGTGTTGGCGTTGTTTTTGCTGTTGTTGTTGTCGTGCAGTGAATATTATTATATTGTACTTTTCATAAATAACTAAATACATTTGGGTTTGGGTAGGTGGACAGGTGTATAACTTAAGTGAATGAACACATCCATTTGAATGTTCCAGTAATATTTATCACAGACTGTTCTCATGACCATACCATGGATCGAACATAGGGAGTTGCAGTTGAATAGAATAGAAAAGTAAAGTATGCATCTGATTTGAAGTTAATACATTGAAAGTGCCTTTGTAGAAGTGTTGTAATGGAAATCAAGTTGTTTGATGAAAGAACCGAAATGACTAGTTCTTCTACACAATGATGACTAGTTCACTTTAGTCTGCTTATTTGTAAATCGACAGAGACAGTGTGTGTGTGAGAGTATGTGCTGTGGATAGTTATCAGTTCAGTGTAGCTAACTGAGGGTTATGTTATTTGATAATAGACCTATTAGAAATCATTCCACTTTGTCTGTATAAATATACAATTGAGTGGCTTAAACTTCCGTGTTTGGTGAGTAGATTGATTGACTATCATACAATAGTTCACTTCACAGAATAGCTATAGCAAGAAATTCGTTGGGAACTAGGAAGTATTCGACTACTGTTTCTTCCTATTGTAAGAATCTTCAGCAATGTACAGTTATTGACCACTCCAGGAATAGAGAATGCTGTCTTCTAGTCTCAAGATCAACGTGTGACAATAATACCATATATTCACTCATGAATAATCTGATGACTTGTTCAACACTCAATTGATTATGAAATGACTCAGTTGTTGACATTGATCTCAGCGAAAACTAATGAGTTGCTCAGTGATAAACAACCTACAATTTGACACACATATGACCACCAATCTGATTTGACAAACACATCTCTCTTTATAGTTAATTTCATCAATGAACTTCTCCTAGAATAGCACCGTCTTCATCTCAGGAGATTCACTTTCCGATTTTTAATAAGTAACTTACTTAATCCTGTTTGATAAAGATACTCACACCAAACAGAGTCTTCTGATCTCTATGAGTGGCAATGCATGCTAGTTTGGAATCTGGTTCTATTTCTCTGAATCCAAAATGCCACGTTACAGTAAGTCTACGTCAACACTGAAACTAATTGTGTGTCGACCATTCTACTTATCTCGGAGGTCCCATCAGCCCCAATGTGTTGGCATTTGAGGCAACCTCAACGCACATTGAGAAACATACTCTGGTATTCTCCCAATAACATCATTCACCGCTCAGCCAATTTAGCCATCTGCCAACCGAAGAACAAATATAATGTAAGGCTATCCACTCTTTTCCACTCTATATCTCTGAAACATAGTTTGTGAAAGTGAAACACTAAAGATTTGAGATCAACGATGTCTTCAAAGCATGTAATGGAGCGACTGGCTTATCAATGTCGGTATTCGTTGTGAAGTATTAAGCAAATATGTTAGACTGAAGTGGTCAGAACATGTGATACGTATTTTTACTACAACCCAAATCAATAAATAACGTTCGCTTGTGTGAGAGTAGGTTGGAACAAAGCCATAGATGGCAAAGCATAAACGTGGTATTAATTCATTAAATTACTGACTGCTTGTGGTATCAGTCACATAGATGAATGCAGATTACTTGGTTATGATCAAAGTAATAGATGCGATCATTAGCTAACGATTTTTGTGACATGGATCAGAATCGGATACAGTAGCACAGATGAGTTCATTATCTATTCTCCTCCTACACCAGATCTTGAGTTCTGGTATTCCATCATGCACACCTTTTCAATCTGTCCATTTGAATAATATTTTCAACGCTCACTCTTTATCCGCATCGTTGGCAGTTCAATATTTTGATCACTTTGCTATTCAGACTGTAATCACACATCATAATATGTAACTAGATGTTATGGGTTAGAATACTACAAGAAGTACGATCTCCTTCAAGGATAATGACGAACAACAAACGACTTAGAAACCTATGTTCAGTAGTACAGTATATCCTCTCGATCAACTTCAACAATCTACCATCGAAATACACATCGGAATACACGACGACAAATCACTTGAACTACTAACCATATATTCACTTGATCCATAGCACTCATAATACACCAAAGACTAGACAAGTGTGACATCGATCACTACTCAGTGGTCAGTCAACCTTCACTCGTGGAAATTATTCAGTGATTCTACAAATAATGTCTTCATGTTCATAGTTTATAGAACTAGAAGTATCATTATTATCATGATTACTATAAAAATGACCTAATCCATAATACACTCGCACACATCCACACCCACACACCCACATTCGAATACATTCACATTGATGGTATGTAAAATCATTGATGCATCAATCAAAATGAATCAAATTAGTGTGTTTCTACTGGGTACAATGGGAACTAATTTGTTTCCAAACATCATAACAACAACCATAACAACAACATGAACAACACCGACACCAATCATCATTAAACTCATGGATAATTCGTTAATCCTACACTTTCCCATCTCTCAACTAATAATCAATTCTACATATATATCCATTCATTCTCATGCTCAATCACTACTTCAACACTCTATTACACATATTCATTCAGTTTGAAATTATTCAATCACTTATCAACTCTTATTATTCCCTCACTCCCAATCACTTTGCTTCACTTTCCATATGATGATGATGATGATCAATTGAGTAGTATATTACCATTCATTGTAAAATATAAAACAGGTTACTCTTTAATCTCACATGTATTTATATACACATCATGAGTGAAAAGGAAGGACACAAGCTGATTGTCATCAAATCAGCAGATGAAGACAACTGTGTTGAGGAAGAAGAAAAGAGAGAGAGAGAGAGGGAGAGAGGGAGAGAATCACTTGATGATTAAGTTAGTTTATTGATGCAGAAATTAAATTAAAATTCATTTCGAAACCATATTCAACTTTCAATGTTTGTTATTATTCTCCCTATTCCCCCTATTCCACCTGATTCGCCCTATGCTCCCTATTATTATTATTATTATTATTATTATTATTATTATTATTATTATTATTAATGTTATGGTAATTATCATCATCATCATCATCTTCATCTTCATCATCATCACCACCACCACCATGAAATCCTTTTTAAAATTGAATATTTGATGAGTAGATAATTGAACTTTTAATCCCCATACGTACAGAGTTAGTCGTTGACTCGCTGACTCGCTACCTCGCTCTCTCGCTCGTTGCTGTCATACACACACACGTACACACATATATGGATCTCCCTATCTGCATATACACATATCATCATATATAGAAAGAAACAAGTTGGGATAAATTCGACTTTTCTTTCATTGAATCACTTTCATTCAAATGACTTCGTTTAATAGAATTTGCTTTACTTATCCATTCAATAATGATAATAATAAATGATTTCATGGTTACCATTAATAGTAAGGAGATAGATGAATAATGAATGGATAGATGATGGTGATGATGATGTTAGTCATTGTGATATATTATATAACAGTTGAATTCATGAGTCAATGTAAGTTAGACCATTAATGACAATCTGGAAGTACTAAACGGCGGTTTCACCCCAGTATGGCACTCTTCAATAGTGCACATCCACGATACCACCCCGTGAGATTCCAACACAGAACCAATCGGTCGAGACCAATGAAGTTCAACTGGATCTGTTATAAGATAGTAACTCACTGAAGATTGGATTGGTTGAAGTTAGACATTAACACAGTTGGATGCTGACCGATACAGTGGTCTAAACATTAACCGTTCGCGGGCGAGTCCGATAGGTCTTGGGTGGAATCTTGGAATCTCATACTAGGATGAAACGGCCGTTCAGTGCTTCCAAGTTTTCCATAATGGTCTAGCTTCAATTAACTCTTGATCTCAACTATTAAATTACTATCAACTTCTCAAAACCCCTCTCTCATTGATACGTTTCATGAGGAGAAATATGTTACGTTATTCTCCTATTACTATATACTTATTAAGTGATTTCAATTATTTCATCAACCCTACTTATCTTCAATATCATAAAACACGTTAATTATCACTATGATTAATTGTTCGATTCACATACACATAATATACATGTATCATTAACATGGATAGATGATACATTCTGCAACTCCCACAGAACTCAAAATCTGTTCACTCAGTTTATGAGTGTATGCATGTGTGTGTGTGTGACTATGTGAGTGTATGAGTAGTAAGGAGTTACACACTCACATTATCATCAGATGGATAGGTAGGTAGGTACATAGATGGGTAGATGGATGGATGGACGGATAGGTTGATGGGTTGATGGATAGAGGAGTACAGAGACACGCGAATTCAAACTGATGATGATTATGTTACATACACATTGATAATTATTACTTGTAATAATCATAATGTAGATGTACATTGTTGAAGTGATTATCTTTCCAATGATTCAGAGTCATTTATTATTATTAATCAATCATTAATATAGGCTTGTGGAAAGTAATCACTTTTAATTGAGATCATGAACCGATCAACAATAGACCACGATTGAGAATCTCGAAGCACTAGACGGCTGTCACGTTCAAATCTATGATACATCAGCATTACGCATCCACGATTACCCATGAGGGACTCAAGCCCAAGACATTCAATCGTGTGTAAACAACTAACTTCTGAATTAAAACAATCCACGATATTGGGCAACCATTTGTATTTGTCTACACTGGTCTACAGATTAAGCATTTTTGCGAGAACAAATGTCCTCATTTCGAGTATCGCGTGCGAGATGGTGATGAATAAATATTGTCTTATCATCCAAGAATATCTCCTTCAATGTGTTGAGATGACGCAGTAACAACTTCAATCAATTTTACACTCAGTTAAATGCATTACTACAAATCCCATTGAAACACCATAACATCCAACAATCAAACATGATCATTCCTACATGTGCATTCATGTTTCATCCTCCTCCTGATGAACACCACATCACTAAGTTGTCACTAAGTGGTATTGCTTAGTTCATTATTAATTGACTACTGATCAAATTCCACACATCATCTCGCACCGCACACTGTCCATACACAGTTGGTAATTCTGTGTAAACAGTTTCATTGAATTACAATGTCTGATCTGATCATTCTTAAAACACAATTCTCCTTATTATAAACTACTTCGTTATTATTCAAGCGTTATCACACTGTTATAGTCAGAGTGTTCGAACACATTTTGTTCAGTACACACACTGAATTGACAATGAATAACAAGTTCACTTCACAGTGGAATTGTGGAATTGTACATTGGATGTGAATATTCCATTGTAAACGACATCTGCATATTGGAAAGTAGAATGGCTGAAGGATGAATGGATGGATGGATGGATGAAGAAAAGTTGGTTTGTTTGTATTCATCTATTCCTACTGTCCATGGGTATATGCTGCAGATTCACAGTCGGATTAACTAATCAAAGTCAGGTGATACGATCGAACATTCATTGGTTTGTCATCAAACAACCAACACAGTCCATTATTCATCTTTCATTCTTCACTAGTTCATATTCATCGCATCCACTAGTTGTTTACAAAATTGAAGGATTGTCAACATTGATTTTCATAGGGAAGTACTTCATTCATTCTGTTTACAACCACAATCTGTAATACAAATTCAATAATCATAACTATTTTCATTATGAATATTGTCAAAATATTCACCATTCATTCTCTCATTTCAATTCATGATAGATTTATCAATTTGTAACCTGTTCACACTTAACAGCTAATTCTGTTGTAGATCACCAGCGTAGATGATCTATGTCGAATGATTGGAGGACTACTCGAATGAGACAGGAATGGTGTGACGAATCAGCTAACATCGAAGTCACACCTCGCGATCAGCACCTAACGTGGATTACCACTTCGATATATCAAAGAACTGTGGTTGCTTTGAAGACCGTACAACACAGGAAACGTTATTACAGAAATATATTATTTCAGGTAGATACAAGCGAAAGTAAGACCACCGCCGACTCATGGGCCAGTCCATGGCGTACGACTAGCTGATGCGCGTTGGTTGTCCATCACCTTGACGAGGATCGATGATTTATTCGATATTCAGTGATCCAACTGTCGGATGATTTGACTAGAGCTCAGTGACACTTCACTGATCCGACATTGTCTTACACAACTACTCGTGCAATTCCAACAACCATCGACACTCCATCCAATCATCTCTCTCCATTCAACAATAAACTCACACTCTACACACATTTCATCATCATCCTCATCAACATGTTCAACTCTGTGAGAATCCCGAAGTAACAGAAGGCAAAGAATTTACTTATCAATCGTCGGTTGGACGTATGTTCAAGTCGGATGACAACAGTCACTATCGTCTCAACTGTTTTACCACTTCATATAACGCATAAGAAACCGTAGCGAACTTATGATAGTTTCAGTGAGACTATTAGTCATTTCATTCAATGTATTCATAATCATCAATCATCTGTTTGTCAATATAACCATACTCCAATATTCATTTGGTACAATTCGATCTTCTACCACTCAGTCACACCGACAAGCACACACACACACACAAACAGTTTTAGAGAGAGAAAGAGAGAAGTAGAAGAAAGAGAAGAAGAACACAGACATATTGAAATTGAACGTTCCTTCATTAATCTATATTAAACGCAATATGATTAAATTTATTGCCCAAAGATAAATACAAACTGTTTTACACTGTTTTTTTTAATGAATTGTGATATCCCGCTTCTTTTTTTTCTTCTAAAAGGGGAATATGTTTGTGTGTATCAATTAATCATGCTGCTGCTGTTGCTGCTGCTGATGATGCTGATGATGCTGCTGCTGATGATGATATGAAAATTGGAAGAGACTTCTTCTCGATGGAATTTCTCAGAGGGATATTTCTATGCATATTAGTATATTTCAGTTTCCTTCATGTCTTACCCCTCTCCCCCCCACACACACACACACTGAGGGAGAAAGAGAGAGAGAGAGTAACTATATATTGGCAAGTTAGTCATAGATTTAACTATACTATCCAATTCATCTTTCATAATTAACTGAGAACTCATATGCCTCATTAGTGAGAATATTAAATATATCAGTGTGGATATTTGTAAATGAGTAGTATTAATATTAGTAGTAGTATAGGTTAGGTGATTAAATTAATGGAAAACTATACAATCCTAATGTTTATTAATAACTTGTTTTAGGATAGTACCTTCTCCTCTCCTCCTCCTCCTCCTCCACACACACACACACATTCACACACACTCACACACTTACATTTGATATCAGTGGTAATAAACGATATCAAGGCAATATATATGGAAGTGGTCAATTTATCTAATATAAGAACATATGTAAATAACTAAATTGTAAATATATATTTTGATGAATCTCATATAATTAGTATACTATGTAATTGAATCCTGTTATCCATAGGTGCCAAAAAGAGAAAAAAATATATCGCTAAAGGGGTTAAATCTAAATGAACATATTGTCTATAATGCAATAATAGAAGGGATATATATGTGTGTACCTATATATATATTACATTGATAATTTAGTCAATTACACATAGGTATATTTTAATGGTTTTAAGTTTAATTCATGAAATGATTCTATTTAAAATATCATTGAAAACTTAGAAGTAATGAATTTGACACAATTGTAAAGCTATAATCCTGTAGTCATGATACGAACGAAGAATCTATGGGTACCGCCGAGAGTGGGGAGAGTCAACTCTCTCTCTCTCTCTCGAATTGTCTTCACATGGCCACGTGCATACAACCGCTGTCAGGGAAGTCCTACTCACTACCTTCTCGCGGCATTACTGTTGTTTACGAGGATGAAAAGTGAATGTTCGGCACTTTAACCAGATTGGTGGATATGGAGGATCCAGCTAGAGGAGTTGGAAAACCCTCATTCCAAATCAATGGTGCACATGGACTCCAGGATCCTAAGAAAACAATTGACGTATGAACCTATTGTTGGTCACTCGCTACCATGGGGCTGTATCTCCTGACGTTGCTCCAATGCCTTGTGGATTAAACCTTTACGTCGAAGACTGTTAGTGTAACCTCCTGCGAAAACCGCCTGATTCGGTTTGGGCACCCAGACTTGTATCACACTCCTTAAACAAATCGAATGACTTATGTGGCGCATATCTATTTGGTGCCTCCTTGTACTAATATTTCTATGTTCAAATAGATAAATAAATAGATCAGGTCAGCGACGAGCGTCGCGCAGTATCATGAATTGATTACAAATAGACACGTATGCTGTTGGGTGTCGAGTCAGTGATATAGAGGTAAAACATTCACAAGCGAGATAGAACGTTTTGGATTTGACTTCCAGATGAGAAGTAGTGGTTGTACACTGTCATTAAGGCAAGCCATAAAACAACGA